TTCATATATTTTAGCCTTTTAGGTAGAAAACATTTCCAGTTAGCACAAAGCACAGTGCTTCTGAAGCTGATGGGGAGGCATTACTTTAGGACATAAACTTCAAATAATTAAAAGACATATAATGGCAATATTTTACCTAAAAATCAGACTCAAAATGGACCTTGAAAGGGAGAATTCAGATGGTTTAGGAATAATCTAATGTAATGTAATGAATACCAAATAGTTTGTACCAAATTAGGTGACAATCCATTTGGTAGATCCGTGGCTAAAAAGCGGAGGCTGTTATGGTAGTAGCAATAATGTGAGCTAGATGAGAATTATTAATCGTAATGCCAGAGCCTGCAGTTTCTGTCTACTAAGCCTATAATTTGCAGAATATTTTTGCACCGCACTTGCAATTTTGCAAATGAGAAAATTCACAGGTTTTATTGGTTCAAGAACTTGTTATATGACAAGAGCACAAAATTAACATATTGCATCATAGGCATAGTTGGAGTAAACTTCAGTGGTGCAGCTAAGCTGTGAGGAAAGCTCGGTTCTATAATTGACAAATTGCAAAATGACAAGCACAAAGCAGCATTATTGTCATCACTGTCAGTTGCGGACCACTATCCGTAAAAAGGACAGAGAGGGTGTAGGAGTTAACTTATATCACTGTCGTTGCAATTGCTGCTGCCTGCAAGGATCATAGATTACCTAATGTCCATTTAAACACATCGCTACACATTTACTGAAGCTCTACCTTGGTATACCTGTTGGATGTGACAAAGAGAGACAGAAACTGGAATCACTTACATCCATCGGTAAAAGATCTACCTTGTATGTCACTGCTTTGGCTTTCATCCAGACCTTCCATTATGTTGTCACCAGAGCATGCCAAGAAAGGACCAAGCCACCTCATTCAGTTACTGGAGGAATAAACCATTCTAATACCCTACTGAAGCCTCTGCGTTACTTGAAATGCTTGCACCTTGATTACCTTTGTTCAGCATGGCCAAATCCAGAAACACTCTCTTAAAAACCTTTATTTATTTCAATCAAATGATCAGAAAGTAATTTCTCAGGTGCAGGAAGGTTGTGTTACTTTGGTGGTGAGACCTGATAAAGAGACATGAAGTTGTGGCAAAAAGAAAGTCTTTCAGCTCTAAGGTTTTAAATGTTGGGACGTATTAAAATGGTCTGGTCCTTAAAAGGTCTTAAAATTAGTGATATACAACCTCGGATTAACATCAATCCCTGACTTACCACACAGTGTCATTATTTAACAGAAACTAAGCTGACATACTGAAGCAGCGTGAAACAAAAATAGTGCACCGCTTGATTCAGTAGCTTATAGAATCACCTTTCGTAGAAATAACTCCAACTGTTTGCTGTTTCACAACAAGTTTCACATTGTTGTGCAAGCCTACTTGTATTTATAACATTGCTTCGGTTCATTGATCTTTAATGGCATTTGTTTATCCATACATCTCTTTCTGAATCAGGTTGAGGTCTGGACTTTTACTGGGCCATTGCAGCACATTCGTTCTTTTCTTTCCCAGCCATTCTATTGCAGATTTGCTGCTGTGCTCGGGATCATTGTGCTGTTGCATGACCCAATTTCAGCCAAGCTTAGCTGTCACACAGACAGTCTCACATTTGTCTCTATAATACTTTGGTCACTCGGTTATAATCTTTTTCACTGTGAAAGGATGGACTTCAAATGGTTTGGAAACAGCTTTACAACCCTTCCAAGACTGATGGCCATCAACAATTGCTTGCACAACCGAATGCTCCAAACCAGCAAATTGCCAAAACCTCTGCTTTTATAGAGGTGCTCACAGGTGATGATGATTAATGAAACAAGTACATTTGATTAGCAGCACGTGGCTTTTCTTAGTTTTACCACACACTGATTCTGCATTTTGTCTTATTTTTTGTTAAAAAACCAATGAAACAATATTGTATTTAACTCATTTTAAGCCCCGGTAAGGAGTAGATGATTTTATGTCCTGAAACATAAACTCTTTGAATTGAAATAGGGCGCACTTTCTTTTTGACCATGGCTGTATGTATGCTATTTATCAGTGTTAGGGAGTAACGGAATACATGTACCGCCGTTACGTATTTAAAATACAAAATATGAGTAACTGTATTCC